TGTATGTGTGTCTCTCGCTCTATCTCTCTCTTCTCTGACGCCCTCTCAATCCCTCAACTTGGCCCAGACTACTCTGATTCTTCACAACATAATAAAATTCCATCCGCATCATGAACTCGAATTGCTCCCACCTGACAAGAACCACATGAACCTGTATCAGGTTCTGTCTTCTTCACCTGCAGATCCGACACCCACATGGATGTTAAGTCAGGAATTGTCAGTTTCAGCTCTGCTAGCAGCAAACGCCGGACTCTCTCCATCGATCCACTCATCGTTAATGTGGCCGGCAACGCACAAGAACGAACGATTCCGTCAATGTCGGGACTTGGACTTCCATGAATTTTCAGCAGTCCTCGGTGTCCTCCGCCCTCAGCCAATAACTTACAACTGTGTGCTCTAGTGGTCCAGCCCAAGGGCCCTCAATGATTTGCTTGGCTTCAGTGATCTCACGCACTTGCCGAATGGGCAGGAAATGTCCCCGAAGTAGGTGGATGGACACAGAAGCAGTGTGGTCTTTCTTGGCTGAAGCTCAAGCTCTTCCATCACAGGATATGGGTCCCGTGTCTCCAGGTCTGCTTCATGTGCTTTGTTGCAGAGCTTCATTTCGAAGCAGGTGCTGAGATTTCATGCCAGGTTGTGTCATGGGACCCCTGCTGGCCAAGGGCCAGCATTGATCTGAGTCTCTCCTGTTGCGGGTCAAGATCATGAATTGATTGTGACGATTTAACTCACCGTAGTTCGGTATTTCTACCATATACTGTTTACTCTGACCTGCAAAAAAGAATTGTAGGGGAAAAATGAAACAAAACCAAAAAAGACTAAAGAGAAAAAAAAAGAAAAAAGAAAAAGTGACTCCATTAAAGAATGAGAAAGAGGGAGAGAGAGTTGAGCAGGTTTTTCATATATCAGATTTATGAATCTATGGTCGCAGCTGCTGATTCTAGGGCAGGTTAAAAGGAATTCGACTAAGTGGTAAATAATTGCTGCACACACTAGGGCAATTTAGAAATTAGGGTCTTGCAGCAACTTGCGTTGAGTGGAGAAGCTAAATATGGTCTGTGTGAATCATCAACATGGGGAGTTTGGGCTCACGCTGGAGAGCACATGGGATGCACAATTCCGGTGGTTTCTAAGCTCTTTTCCCATCAAAGTCTGCTTCTTGTCCCTCCCTGTCCTCTGCTATTTTTATTGCTCTCTTGTTCTGGATCCCAATCTCTATTTCTCCTTCAGGCTTTCTTCTCCCTATTCTGCACTGCAAGCCTGCCTCATCCTGTCTAATCCGAGCCGTTTTGTCTTTTCTTACAACTCCACTCTCAGCTGTTGTTCCAATTATGAAATATATCCAACAGTGATATTTCGGTGGTGATCTTTTGCAGTATGTGTTGCTAGACCGTTTCAAGACCATACAGTTTTGTTTTATTTTTATTTCTTTTCTCCAGAGTCAAATGGGAAAAAGAGAGATTCCATCAAAACTAGACAGAACAAACATGCTTGGGGATGGTGAACAAAGTTGGGTAGATCCTGGTAGTTACCACGACCACTGTTTTTTCAACGGGAATGAGAACGGAACAGAGAACTTAAAGAGTGTTTTCTTGATGAGTATGGTTCCACTCGAAGACGAGATGCGTAACACACAACGTAATGAATGGCCGTCACTAACAACAACGATCCAGATGCTTGAGAGATCTGCCATAAGACAAAGAAACTATACCATGGAAACCCTCACACACATCCCTTCCACACCCCGTCACTTGGAATAATTAGAAGACGAAAATCCCTTGCAAAATTAGAATGAATAAAGGAACACCATTCCGATTACATGAGTTATATTCCCTTCGACACCAGAATTAGGTGGTCACAGAACACAAAAGAGAAGAAATGCATCGATGTCAGAGCTCACAACTCCACCTGCTGAAACTTTCGGAGACTTATTTAAGCCTTCCTCGTTCGAGCAAGCCTGGACTGGAAGAACCAGTCCGGCGATTCTCGCCACGTACCAATTAGAAACAAATTCGAAACTGCCCGCGCCATTCGAGCAGAACACGGGGAACTTTATTCTCGCTCAAAGTACGTGTCCACGATAATCCAGGACAAAAAGGCCCGATGCCACAATTGCGAGAAGCTCGCTCGCATTTCCAATTTATGGTTTCATATATATATATTTTTTGTTGGGTTCACAGAGACGACCCCAGCTTCGGTCCGGGCCATAGCATGTGCTTCGGTACCGAGGCTAACCTGCCCGCGTGGTCAGATCCCTGGAGCCGAAGCTCATTGGGCAGCCCAATCGGGCAGGGCTGATAGTTTTCCTCCGGACCGCAGAGAACTGCGAAGCCTATAGCGAAGCTGGCCATGGAACAGAGTGGCTCGGTGGATTGTAGCGGGCAGAGGTGCTTTTCTCTCCGGGCAGCGACATTCTTATTGGCTGCCCGGGTCAGCCATACAATTGGAGGTGCCTTTTTAAATGGGCATGTGCTTTACTCCCTAATAATAATACCACTTAATAAATCACCATTGAATGTGGCGTTCAAATTTTGAAATAATGGGGCAGGGAGTTTCAATGTTTGTCTGAGGGGGGTTAGTATACGTCATGGCCATCATTCTGCTTATGAAAGCAAACAAATAAACAAATTAGTAAATATACCCACATAGAGAAAGAGAAAGATATAGGAAGACAAAGAAATTAGAGTGTGGTGGGGTACAATGATGTTGTTGTTGGTTGTTTCCAATGATTTTTTGCAAAGTAGGACATTTATGTGGAAACTTGTGCAAAGTGGCCTCCCTTTCTTGGTTCCCAAACTCTCTCCCAAAGCTCAAAAAACAGCACCACTAACTCCAACTCACCCTCTTTAATGTCCCACCCATATTTTAAAATATAAAAATATAAAATAATATTTACTAAAGGTGTTGCTAATGCTACCACAGTTTTTATTGTTGTCACTGCAATTCTATCTATCATCTATTACATGTCATCACAATTCTTGTTACTGCCACAACTTGTTCTTATTAATTATTTCAATTATTTTTTTGGTTGTAATAGCAATAGCAAAAAATGTGATTTTGTGTGGTGAATTGCAAATTGTGGCAATAGTAACAAAAATTGTAGTGGCATTAGAAATATCCTTTGATAACCCCATGGTTTTAAATTTTTTCTTTAGACAACATAAAAGAATTACCTTGCATGTGTATATATAGCTATAAAACTAACTATGCAAGTTTCAACCTCTAATTTTGAATAATCTTTGGTTTTAATTTTAATTATTATATAAATATATAAATAAATAAATAAATAAATATATATATATCCATATATTCCCTTACAATCTTTTTTTGATAGATTGCTTATTATATCTATGATGATTGCAATTAATTATTCAATTAAAAGTTTTATAATTTTTGAAAAAATATAATAAGAATGTATTATTCTAATATTACCATGTCAGTTCTAAACATGTACTAATTGGAAGAGTTTCAAGATAGTTTTGATTGATTAACATTTTGGACAAAAACTTTTGGGAAGATATTTTGACAATGTAATTTTTTCTGTTTAAGAAATTGAAAAAAAGTTGAAAATTTTGTTTTGTAGCTATAGAGAGGACTGATGAATGAATATATATATATATATATATATTAACGTTTTGGTTAGAGAGAATGATGCCATGAAGTAGGTGTGAGGGAGACAAATGTTATCTACAGCAAAAGGGAATGCCAATCAGTCAGTGGAAATTTCTTCACAATTTCCCCCTTTTTATCTTTCCTGCTATTCAGGTACTTAGGGTGTTATCCATACTCCTGCCATCTGCGTGCTCCTTCATTGCTTTAGAAGTTGGGTTCAAACTCAGTCTTCGTAAGAGATGAATGCACCACCATAAATCAAAATAAGAATTCAAATCAGAGGAGGAGGAGAAGAAGAAGATAAAAAGATCAAAGGCATGAGCAACATCAAATCCTATGATCCTCAACCACCCTCTGACAGATTTGACACATTCTCAAGGCTCATTCAAAACCCAGATATCATTAAGTTTGTTTGAAACTTTCCTTGGTGGTAGCGACCACAATTTGACTTCCTTATATTGTTTTTGAACTGGATTTGCATTGCGCCTTTTTGATGATGCACAGTTTTGAAAGAGACCGGCTACGTAATTAATATGTGTGCCGCACGAGATTATTGTTGAATGTTGGGAGCTGAAGGCAAATTCTAGTAGGAAATAGCACCTCAACCAATGGTGCAAAATGAAGAATTGAACACTGTTAACGAAAATGTTGTGTAAACGGGCCCCGGCACTTTCCTTTCAAGCGGGCTTTCTGCGTAGACTTGCATTACATCCAAACATGAGTATTAGAGGTATGTTCAAGCTGACTGACCTTATAAATTCTCCGCCAATTCAAATTGCTTGGGAAGCTTTGACTGAAATAGCTAAACGAAGCAACCTGCTCAACTCTGCTTTTCTTATTCCTGCTGCTTCGTGAGTCATTGCTGTGGGTTTCTTTGCGAATGCATTTTTTTGCACCTTAAACCTTGTTGTGAGATCTAATAGCTACCTATTACAACAACAATGAGGGATCAAACGGAGTTCACTTGGTGAGGAGATATGAAAATAGTATCATACACGGTCATTATTAACATGTGTCACAATACACGGTTTAAGTCCAAAGATTGTGTCTAACATAGCTAGTAAATGCATGGTACCCACTTGCAAGAGCGTTCGGTAGGCAACAACACAAATTGCGTGCAGCAAGATCAAAGAAAACAATAGAGAGAATCCCCCACTGAAACTTCGATTAAAGGCTTCCGATCAGCAACATATTCAAATCTAAACATCTCGTTGGACATTCTAATTTTCCCAGCAGATACAGAATTAGCAAGGGTTCCAATTAACGAAACATTCCGAACCATTTTCGATATTGTTGAAAACCTTTTGAAGCTGATAAAGCTTTTGCAGAATGCTTTACGGTACGAATCTCTGTTTTGACAAGTGACAATCAAGATCCCAAACTTGCTTTCACTTGTACCAGCCAGCCATGAGGTATCGAAGCCCAAAACAGAATCCACAGGATGGGACCTGCACACATAAAATGCATTGCACATTCCGGAGTACACTAAATGCGGATTCACAGATTACCAAAAAAAAGCCTAAAGAGCCAATTTTTTTTTTTAAATAAATAAATAAATAAATAAAACAAAATCTCAGTGTACCTCTGAACAACTTCGCGCCATCCAAACATCTAGAAGCTGAAGAAAATTGAAAGCATCATACCTGAAAAGCCAACATCCACATACAGAGGTGTTGCTCAGATCAACGGCCGAACCAGCACAAAAAGAGATTAACAAGATTCATGTCATTGCTGCCTGTCAGGAGTCCTGTATGTGGATCAAAGCTGTCATAACCAAGCAGGAGTTAGACATCGTGTATGCCTTCGTGTAGGACCATTGTAACGAATTCAAACAACCCAGGTCTGTATATATGTACGGTGAACAATAATTCATGAGAATCATAACAACAGCAAGAGGGTTTTGAAGTTCGAGAATAGAAATTTCCATACATATTTCATTTCAGGCTTTCGAGGCATTTGCTCTAGTAACCAACATAGGATCAGTGGAGGGGTCGATGTGCGTAATCAATGCAGTAGTATAGCCGGAGGAATGGAGTACAGGAAGCCGATAATTTGAGGGCAGAAGAACAACAAAGTCTCACATCAGAATCATTTAAGCATGATATCGGTCTTTCACCAAAAAGAGTGGTATTTGGTTACATTGAAATTATAAGATGACAACCGTGTCTGAAAAGCATTCATCCCAATTGAATCGGCGAGAAAATTTTCACCGAGGCAACTGTATTACTGAGAGAAGACGACTGCATCACCTGAAATGACCAAGAATTCCAACTACTGCCAATGCCACCCCAGCAAAATAGGTACACTTGTCACCAACAAACACTGATGATCGATATCTGTAAGTATGAGCGGAAGTTGGTAAGCTCAGGTCATTTGAATCTTTGTTTTCACCCGAAATCCTATTGCCATGCAAATGAACACAAAACTAGAGTGAAATACTGGCACGGAACAAGCAGGGTTGGTCATGCTAATTTCTACCACTTTCCAGATAGTTGCAGTAATCGATTGCATAAGGTACAAAGAAAAGGCAGGAGCTTGTCTTGTTTCTTCAATACGTGAAATTTGCATCAAATTACGTGCCAACATCTGCACAACAGTGCAGCAATTAACGGCCAACATAACTGCTATAATAGTAACTACTGCAAGTCTAAGCTGTTCGTAGTCAACATTATACTGGCTGAGTCCTTTGAAATTTAAATACATTAACAATCTTGTCCAAGTAAAGACAAACTTCCGCAATGTAGAAGAAAAACTTAAAAACTGTCAAACCTTCGATACACTTTTGATGGACATTGCTGTGCTTAAAATAAAAATGAGATTGCGAACTTACCACGAGAAAATAGCGTGTGCACATTTTAAAAGAGTACAAGACGAATGTCCCAGGAAAGAATGTTGACTGTTTATTTTTCATAAAAGTTTGGTCACTCCTAGAGAATCCGAGTGTTAAACTGAGACAAATGGTAAACCACGTCATGACTAACTCAAGCACATCGTCAACACTTTCAGAGAAAGTTCTAGTTTCGGAGTTCAAGTGTGAGTATGGTAATCACCAACCAATTTGGTTAATCTTTTCTCCCATCATTCATAACAGTTGTCGACTTTTTGCCTCGAAAGTCGTTCAGATAGTACTTGATTATTAGGAAGTTTTGTCGAGGCAACCACTTATATGTATACTCTTGCAGGCTGGATTTATAAGTTGTACATGAGACTGCTGGCAGTCTTCTGCACCAATTCTTTCAACATCCTGGCCGATCTGAATGGCTCGGAACGATGTTTGAGTAATTCTGGAACTGGCAAGGAACAGTTTGCTGCAAAAAGAACACCAACAATATTCAGCGCCAATTACGATTCTACTACAGAAGCAAATAAAGCTGAAGAATATGAGGTCGACAAAAATCACAAATTAACTAAGGTGGCAATTGCTGAAGTTGATACAAATCACGTCAACAAAATTTGCCAATACGCACACACGCCATAGAATGTCTAAAACGTCACCTACGAAGCCATGGAACAGTGTATAGAAAATGCAGACAAGAAGTGCATCGTACTCCGTCAGCCACTGTCAAACACTCGAACAAAACACCACATTAGATCCCCAGTAAGGAAGGCATAAAAACTGTTGAAATACCAATGCTCAGGACCAACATCAATTCTACAAGACGACAACCTACAAACTTCACAACGACAGTTCAATATATGTGCAAGCATCTTCGCTGGTTCGTGCAATAAGCTTCCGAAATCATGCAACAGGAGCAGGTCAAGCTGAAACAGGATGAGGATCTTGAAATATCAAGATTAGAAATCCTAAGCTTGAATATTGTACATGGCCACGTACATGGCATACTGACAAGGATGGAACGCATGAGAACAAGCTCAATAAAAAGCAAGTCTAGCTAAGTCATGAAGGACGTAACCACCAAAATTTCAAGTGGCTTGAACTATATTCTCCAATACTTTGGTTTCACTGGATATTTTTGGAGGTTTATAAAAAGGAAAAGAGAGAAAGAAAAAGTAAAAGTAAAAGAAAAATGAATTAATAGATAAATAACAATTGAACGATATGAAATTGCATTTGAAACAACTTTGAATGTAAGCAAAGTGTAATTTTTGTTTTAAGATAAGTCATTGTTAACTTATGAAAAATTGAGTTCCATGATGCAATGTTTTGGTGTAAGTCTATGATATTTCGAAGTCCTACAAAATATTGCTATATAGCCATTAGATAGATAATATAGATAGAGGCTAAAGTGAAGACTTTTTCACTCTTGTCAATTCCTTTTTTGCTCCTAGTTTAATTTCAAGAGTCTCTAGCTTTTTAGTCTTTGGCAATAACCATTCCAATTTCTTATTAAATATATTTATTTTTATTTTTATTTTTTCATCTTTCTTTGATTCATTTTTTACTTATTTGTATACATATTTTTGAATTTTTATTCTCAATAGTAAATAAATAAATTAAAATATTAATTTTTATTAATTTATTTTTTAATAATCTTAATCTTAAATAAATTTTTATATCCAAAGTAGTCAAATTAAAGCAAAAACTAATACATAAGGTAGTCAAAGATATGAGATTGTCAAATTCATTTAACAATAATTTTAATCATTTGTACATCTTTATATTTAAAATAATCAAAGATGTAAAGTTGCTCATTTCATTTGATAAAGATGCCAAAATTGAAGATCCTTCAATATTTAAGGTAGTAAAAGATGTAAGATTATCAAATTCATATAATAATAATATCAAACTTGAATATTTTTTAATATTTAAGATAGTCATAGATATAAACTTGCCTAATCCATGTAGCAATAATGCCAAATTTAAACACTCCTCAATATTTAAGGTAGTCAAAGATGCAAGAGTTCTTAATTCATTTAACAATGTTGTCAAATTTGAATATCATTCAATGTTTAAGATAGTCAAAGATGTAAGATTGTCCAATTCATTTGATAATGATGTTAAGTTTGAATACCACTCAATGTTTAAAGTAGTCAAAGATGCAAGAGTTCTTAGTTAGTTAAAAAGGCTATTATTAAAATTAATTTTATATTGATGATGGTTTTTATATATTTAAAACAACCTTTATTAGACATTGGTGACTCTTGAAATCTTATTTTGTTCTTTTTATTTAGTGTTTAAGCTACATACTATATAAAACTTATTAAAAAAGAATTAAAGAAGGTTTTTTATATAAAAAAGAATAATTAGATCAACCATATAGATGAATGGAGATGGATGATAAAAATCTCCATTCCTATTGACCAAAATTCATACCCAATAGACTTCAAGGAGGTTGCATAAGGCCTTGTTAGGAATTCGAATTATTCTTTTGAAGGCATTTAGACATTAGAAGATAAAATCATCAATTTTAGGACTTTAGATACGGTTTTGATTCAAAAAATTATTTGATTTGAAATTTTTATAAAAAAGATATAGGTACTTAAAGTCAAGGTATCAATTTTGTACCTATTATTATTCTTTAAGGTATAGCCCATGCGTATAAAAGGCTTTTGAAGATTAGATTATATCAAGGACACAAATCAGAAAGAGATTCATAAACTTGTGGAATTTGTGTCAAAATAAAAGTGACAAAATAGAAAAAAATATATATATTCAAGGAAGAACTAAAATGGCTATTGCCAAAGATTGGAAAACATAAGACTCTTAAAACTAAACTAAAAGCAAGAAAGGAATTAACAAGAGTAAGGAAGGCCTCACTCTTACTTCTATATATACTACTTAACTAAGAACTATGTGGCAACATGCTATAGGACCTCTAATATGCATTCAATATGCAAGACACATGTCTAATTTGCAATTCAAGTTTCCTAGGTGTGTGCTATATGTCCAACTTATACTACAAGTGGTCAATATGTTGATATGTGGCCTCCTTGTTCGCCAAGTTTTCAACCTACCAATCACCTATAGACATGTATAAAAGCAAATCAGTATCTATGAAGCTTCTAGGAAGATTTCTATAAAATATTATCATATTTAACTTATTTATACTTATTTTTTATTATCTAGATAATTATCAAGGTAAATATGTATGTCTGTGATATTACTCCCTTATCTCCCTTTCTAGGAACAAATTCCATGAAGAGCGGTGATTATATGTTGATAAAGTCTAAGACGCACTGAATTTTATTTGCTATGTATTCTAATCTTTATTCCCTTCAAAGGTATTTAATAGATCCCTTCAACCATCGATAATGTTCCATACTAGGGTGAGAAGATCACTTTGATAGTTGATCATTATTGAGGCCTTCATAACTTCTTTCAAATAAAATATTAGTAATACCATCAAGAATGGTTCCTACCTCCAAAAGTATTACTAAATACTGAGAGTTCCTTTCAAGGTCATGGGACCAAATACATTATATCTCACCATCTATTTAAAGAAGTATATGTCATTCTTGAAGATATTCATTTCAATTTTACTATCTCAAAGGTTGTGATAGTCGTAATGTCTCGTGTGATAATTTAAAAAATGATAGCTCTTGAGTTGAATCTCTTAATTGTTGGTTCTCTATCTTCTAAGTACTAAAATATCCAAAAAAATGATGATACAAGATAGAATGAAATCTCTATTGGGCTTGCTTTGCATTATAGGAAAGAATTTTTTCACTCTTCATTTTGATTTTGATGGATGTCATTGATGAAAAGCTTTAATTTTGCTTGATATATTTGCTAGATTCCTGGATAGTTCTTATGTGTATTTATTAATACCATATCCATACCAATGTACAAGATATTCTAATCTATTTTGGTGCTACCTTGAATCTAAGACTTCTTCCACCTTAAATTCTTCATTATTGTCTAATCCTATAGGAGGTGGTGGCATTTGTCTCCTTCTTTGTATATTCATTGTCTTGTATTGTTCAAATAAAGATACATAGAAAATAGAATAGATTTTTATAGACTTTGATAGGTATAATCAATAAGCAATTAGATTGATCTATTGTCAAGGACAAAGACTTGATGAGGGAAAATATACACAAAAAGGCTATCTCGATATAATAAGTCAAAATATAAACAAGTATGTATATTAAAAGGAAACTGGAATGGCTATTGCCACAAGACAAGAAACTAAAGACTCTTGAACCTGAACTAGGAGCAAGAAAAGAGTTGACAAGAGTGAAGAAGCCTTCACTCTTGTCTCTATATATACTATCTAACTAGGGGCTACGTGGCGACGTTCTATAGGACCTCCAATATGTGTTGACTTTGTAGGACACATGCCTTGACTTACAAGGCAAGTTTTTCTACGTGTGGGCCACATAGTTAGCTTGATCTTCAAGCTAACAACATGTGTGGCACATGGCCAACTTGTTGACCACGTTTCTAATCCAAAAAGTCAATTAAAGACACCTATGAAGTCAAAGTAGCATCTAGGAAGTTTCTATGAAGCTTCCATATTAAATATTATAGAATTAACTTACTTTTATCTACTTTTACTTACTTCTACCTATTTCTATATGTAATTATTAGCTTACATGATTATGGCCGTGACATCTGTTCACAAATAAGAAATAATCCAAGCTTATGATAATCTAGCTCGTCACAAAGACAAATAGTTTTAATATTATAACGAAGTAATCATACCTTATTTTCCACATGGAATTGAGATTGTTCCTTGCAATAGACATCTGAGTTGGCTTTTTGTTGTTTTTGAGCTTCTTTTAATTGTGTCTTCATTGTTGTATGTAGCTTTGACAATCAATTTGCTACATCTTCTGCCACAAGATTATCAACTTTTGAAAAATCAAAAATATCAAATCATAGATGATAACCATAATTGACAAAGAAAGGTGTTTGTTGAGGAGAAGAATGTATCAAATTATTATAAGCAAACTCTGCCAATGGCAAAAGAGTTGTCCAATTATCTTATTGATAGTTAATGGTACACTTCAAAAACTTGATTTACTCATTTTATTTGTCCATTAGTTTGAAGGTAGAAAGCTGAAGATAGTTTTATATCCACCTTCAATATCTTGAAAAGAATTCTCCTAAATTTCCATAAAAATCGTATTCCTCTCTTTGATATCATATTCTTTGATAATCCATGATGGAGATAGATATTGTTAAAGAAGAATTTAGTTGTTCTTTTACCTATTATAGATTTTGTATATAGTATAAAATGTGCCAGCTTGGTGAAAAAATCTACAATCACAAATATAGAATCATATGAAGTTGAAATTGGAAGATCCATGATAAAATCCATAGAAACAAAAGACCATGGTTGTTCTAGTATAGATAATAGTTGGAGGAGTCCATAAGGTCGATGACAAGGAGTTTTTGATCTTGAACAAATATCGCATGTTTGCATAAATTCTTTAACAACCTTCCACATTTGAGGCCATCAAAAATCTCTAGATATAAGCTTCAAAGTCTTATTGTATCCAAAATGTCATATTGCAAGAAAATTTTGATAAGCTTCAAAAGCACGTAATCATGCTTCTCCTTGTAGAATATATAAGCATCCTTCAAAATATAGTAGGTTCTTTTTAAATTCAAACTTAAAAGTATCTTGAGACTTAGAAGAATTATTTTTAATA